ATCCATCCATCCATCCATCCATCCATCCATCCATCTATCCATCCATCCATCCATTTATCCATCTATCGATGTTATCACTCTCGCTCTCTGTTATAGTAGATTAAAATCAAGCGTTGTTGCTATTGACAAACTGAAAAACATCTTTTAATTACAGTTTACTTTAATTATTGGCTCCTTCAACTTTCTTGGCTCAGACCTTAATGTTTAAGGCTGTTTTTGACACCAAACATTTTGACAAAGTGAGAAACGTTATGTTTTCAACAGATTTTCTTGAAATTCTGCCAGACTGTGGAAACTACAGTGTTGGTTATTCGAAGAAAAATGTTCGGCCTTGGCATACAGCTGACTCATCTCTTTTAGTTTAGTTTAGTGAACAATCAGTCTGCAAGAGTCAGCATCATCACTGTGGTACATTTGTACTGAAATATTTTGTTTTTTTTTTTTTTTTTTTTACAAAGAATACAAATACAGTGTCTTACTAATTGGCTGTGAAATACCTTATAATAATTAGCTTTCCTGTCCTAGCATCATAGCTCTATGCTCTTTATTGGACAACTGTCCTTGATCAACATGTTGTTAGCATTAGCGTGTTAGCTGTTGGGTTTCTCTGGTTTCTGCCTCTGTTTCTGTGTTGAGTACAGTGGAGAAAATAATGGAACATGATAAACTTGGGGAAATAACAGTTTCCTAGACTTGGAATATTGCCCGTCAATCAGTGACATTGTTATAAGCTTGCAATGACGCACGTTAATCAGTGAACAAGAAAATGTAGTCCGATCTGTGGGATACCATCGCCATGGAGACTATCAAAGACACGTCCTCCACAGTGAGTCACACAGTGTGCAACCACACAGATAACGAAGCAGCGACTTCTGTCTCTGTGCTTTACGGCAGCGGGAGACAAAAGTCAGTACTTGTTAAAGCAACATGGTGATTGATTGGTGACTGTAGTCACTGTCATCCATCCATCCATCTATCCATCCATCCATCCATCCATCCATCCATCCATCTATCCATCCATCCATCCATTCATCTATCCATCCATCCATCCATCCATTTATCCATCTATCGATGTTATCACTCTCGCTCTCTCTTTCTCTCTCTCTGTTTCTCTCTCTCTCTCTCTCTCTTTCTGCCATAGTTTACTCTGTTACCTTTTTGTATTCCATGCCCCAGTGTGGATAAATACAGCAGATTAAAATCAAGCATTGTTGCTATTGACAAACAAATTAGAGTTTACTTTAATTATTATTTGTTATCCTACAGTTTACAACAGCAACACAATAATTTTCCCAGTCTGGGATTAGTAAAGTTAAATCTAATAATAATAATTATGTTGTTTACTCGATGCGAGTAATGGGATATGTGGTTTCTCTGGGAATCAAATCCTTTCTGGTTGCAGACCTGTGAGCTACAAACTAACTACAGAACTACAAACTAATCTAATCTAATCTAACCTTCATTCTTAATCCTTTGACCAAACATCACATTAAACAGTAAAGTAACCTTAGAAAACTGTGTTCAACTGTACATTTTGAGTAGGTCTTTGGTCAAATTGGTAAAAATATTGGCTGAATATTTAAAACATAATTAAATAGTATATATTACTGTGGTCTCCAGAGAACTAATTAAGATTCAGCTCATCTCTGGAAATTCTTTTTCCAGAAAGTCTCATGTGTCCTGTAGCACCAATCCATGTCTTTGTCTCACTGACATGTCTGTAGCATCATCACCTTTAGCATGTGTTTAGCAACATCCTCTTTGCGCCGTATCTAACCACAACAAGCTTCAAATATACTTGTACTGTATAAACACAAGTATATGTGAAGCCTCAGAAATATAAGTTTATATCTTTACAAATGGAAACGTTGTTGAAATGTAATATAGTAGCAAGTAAGACATTTAATTTCATTCTCTCTCTGTCTTTTTAAGTCAATGTTAACGCTAACTCCATATCAGCATGAAAGACTAGACTCCAGCAGATACAATATTTCATCCAGCCATGAGTTTATAATTTCTCTGCAATCAAGCTTCAAGGTGTCTGTAAAGAATTCAGGAAAAAGAAAGCTGTGAATATCTCTGGAGCTTTGTCCGACTTAGCAGTTTCTTCAAAGTGAGGATTAGCTCGGCAAACGCAGCATAAGAGCCAGGACCGGTACATTTCACACGTTTACTGCTGCTGCTCAGGGCCTGAGCTGGAGGACGTGGAAGATTTCCTGTCTGGGTTCTTAAGGAGATTATGAGGTTGTTGCCCCCTTCAGGTCATGTGATGTATCCGATGACGTCAAAGTTTGATCATGGTTTAGCATTTAGGCTAGAGATAAGAGTATGCTAATTAACATTGATGAGGACAACGGCTTCACCGAAGCAGCTCTCTGGACGTTCTACAATCCTCCAACTCTATCAAACTACAAGATGAGTTTTACTTCATCTTGCAATATTAATAATAATTCATTAAAAATGATTTATAATGAATAATATTCAGAAATGTTGATTTAGCTCTGTTAATGATGACTAATTATCACCAGTCACAGTCAAAATGAATCATCACCAACAGTTATTAAACCACAGCTACCCTGTGATTAATCAGCCAAGACTTTTAGTTATTTATATACCTGCAGAAGCCCTGTGATTAATCAGCCAAGACTTTTATTTATTTTTAAGTTCATGCCTTATGGTAAAAAAAAATTTTTTTTTGGAAGCTGTGTGTTAAATAAAATAGACTTTATTAGCATTAGCATTAGCTACGTGGCTAAGGAAACGGAAGCCTACTGCCCTTAAAACCTGCAGAAACATACGGCAAAGAAGAAAGTGAATGAGAGAAAGAGTCAAAGGTATTTGTATTGAGAGTATGTGTCCTTCTTATTAATGTGGACTCTCCTGAAGACAGAATGATTTCAATGTCACTGATGGAACTTCAGTGTCACTGTGGGAAACTCAGCAGCAGTTCAGGACAGTTTACAGTCACTGGACGTTTTCTCTGTAATGAAAGTAGAACCCGCTGATAAAATGAGTCCGGCTCTGTCTTTACTCTCATCCTCTGGTGTCTGCAGATATAACAGTACTGTGATTCAACTGGACGTGAATGAAAAATGCTCCAATTAGACAAACACTGGTTCCTGGAGCGTGGCAGCTCTCTGTGAAATGATCTGTCAATAAAAGCTATTTTGGAAATGGCTGAAAGTGTTGTGTGATTGTTGTTGGGTTTCTTTGTGCTGCTGCAGCTGAACTCAGCTGTTATTTTAAAGTTCAATTTAATCATTTTTATCTCACCCTCCTCCCTTGTCTCCCCTCTTCTCCCGCTCTTCTAGCGAGCTTTTGGGTCCGGACTTTACAGAGACCTACTACACAGAACAGGGACGGCCTGTGACTCTGACCAATCACAACTATTCTGTGAGTACCAACTTTATTAGTGCTGATTAACAGCATTTGGTATCAAACCATTTGACATTCAACTCTGATATAGGAGTATATATTAGAAATATATATGGAAATATATGAACATCGGCTCAAAGAATACTTGTCTCCAGGATTTACAGGGATGAGAATTGATAAGAATTCACAGATTCTGATCAGTTATCAATATCACTTATCAACTCAAATATTTGGTATTAGAATAGGAAAGAATTAAATCTGCATGAAAAAAAACATGTGACAAACACTGATGACATCATCAGTGAATATCTTGGTGTCCAAGTCCAATGTTTCTGGTATTTTTCTTCTATTTTCTCGTCAAAGCTCTGTCGGTCTTCAAACAGCCCTGGTGTCGTTTTTGGGAAAAATTCAACCAATTGATTCTGTGGAATCAGTAAGAAATCTGCATGATCATGAAGACTAACAGGTCCAAACACATTAGACTGTTGGGAGTCAGTTGTCCACATCAGCAGTCCCCAAACTTTTTGTACCAAGGATCTGTCGGTCGTTATCAGACATTACCTAATGACCTATGGACCGGCCGGTACTGGTCCCCGGACCAGGGGTTAGGAACCCCTGCACTACAGTATGAGTGATTGATGACTGATTTCCATCCCTAATATTTTTCCTTGTTCTTTAGCCAGTTCCTGATCTCGCTTTACTTTTTTAAGCAACAAAGATTGAACCTAAAATAATAGAGATTTTTATTGTAGGGGAATGCACACAAACAACAATGTAAAACAAGTGTGTGTGTTCCTAAGAATGTCTGCCATTGTGGGGGTAATGAGCAGCTAACAACAGAGGGACACGGAGGAGGAGGGGACAGACGGCACAGCTGGACTTTTGACACAGTCATGAAATCGTCCCTGTATATCAGAGGAAGCTCCAGTGGAGACAGGGAGCTCAGATTCACGGCTGAGTTTCTCCTACAGACAGAGAGCAGCTCAGATGTTGGAGCTGATGATGGAACAGATCAGAACAGTCAGGCATTTCTGAGAAACAGTGATTCTTCAGTTCATCGTAGGTTGTAATTATTCCATCATGGCTGAATTAAAAATTCCCATGGAGAGTTTTTAGGCCTTAGCGCCTGGTTGAAGGGTTTCAGTCATTTTTTAGTTTTTAGTTTTGTTTCTGTGCAAAAAGAAAAAACTGTGTGAGTGTGTGAGTCTCTGCTCTCACACAAATATATTCCTGTTTTGTTCCTGTTTCTGGAACAACTGCCAGGAGCAGCTGAAGTGTCTCACCCAGGGACACATTAGCATGGAATGAAAAAAATCAAACTCCAGACCTACTGTCTGCTTTATACACTGATTCACTATGGCACAATATTATTGACTAAATCACATTATATATTGACATTATGTATTGACATTAATTATTATTGTTAAAGAAAGTCACAGTTTTATTATAAATACTCTCATTAAGAAATCAGATACAGGTCACCAAAGGTCAACAGATGGGACTTCAGCTAACAGTGTGAACTTACGCTGCAGGCCGTGCTACAGGTTGACCTTCTGTCTGACATATAAAGCTGTTAACAGTAGGTTTCTATAATGACTGAATAATGAGTGTTTTCTTTTTCTTTAGTGTGAACTCGACCATAGTTTCTGAAAGAGCTTATATTTAAGTGGAGTCTTCAAGTGTTTTGTGGAAGAATTGAGCATCAGTGTAGCAGCCGTTACTGCAGCAGCCTTCAGAACTTCAGAGTTTCTGTAAGAACAGCTTTGCAGTCAGAACATTGTAAAGTTTACAGATTGATGTTGCTGCTTCTTATCTCAGAGGAACTCATTTGGTTTCCATGTTTGAGGAAGCAGGTTATAAATATATGTGTGACAGACGGGTCACATCTGCAGAGTTTCTGCTGAGCACAGGTGATTCAGCTGACTGACTGTGGTCTGGACCAACTGGGCTGGAACAAATCATCTGGTCATCCTCCACAGACGAGTTCATAAGTCACTCTACAGTCAGTGGCTGTGTGTGAGTGTGTGAGTGTTAAATGACCTGGAACTTGTTTTAAACAAATTCAAGTCAAAGATAAAATGCTGACTTCAGTTTCAGAGCTGCTCTCAGTTCATGAGTTTCATGAGTATCAACAGGCCTCAAACCAGTCTGACACTAGGTTTCAAACCAGTCTGACACCAGACCTCGAACCATGCTGACCACCCCACAGTACCTCTTTTCACCATTAATTGGGCTGCGGACCATTTGTTGAAAACCAAAAATTTTTAGTGGGACAGTCAACTGATATTTTTAATTTTTTACTACAATTTTAATTTATTAAACCTTCAAAAGAAGCTGATTCAACAGCAGGAAGGTTTTGACTGGTTTTCACTGCTTGAATTTCAGAACAATTTATTATTATTATTATTCTGAAAATGTGTTAAAAGTTGTTTTGTTTCTTTTTTTTTTAGTCTTGTTTTTTCTGAGCCTTTCAAAAAGCCTGACCTTCTGACCTCATTGGCTTTGTTCAGATCGTAAAGGATTCATTAAGAAAGGTCTCTGGTCACTGAGGTTCCAATGCGCTTTTGGAAGAATGGTCAAAAATTCCTATAAACACTCTCCTCAACCTTGTGGACAGTCTTCCCAGAAGAGTTGAAGCTGTAATAGCTGCAAAAGGTGGACCGACATCATATTGAACTCTGGGTTAGGAATGGGATGGCACTTCAGTTCATAGTAGGAGTCAAGGCAGGTGAGCAAATACTTTTGGTCATATAGTGTATTTCAAAGATTAGTCAGAGGGTTCAAGGTGAAAAGACAGGAAGTCCTTGAATTCTTTTGATTTCATTCATTCAACAAGACTTTGACTGTGATCTTCAGTCCTACCCTGTCTCCAAGGTAGTTTCTTTATCAAACCTTCTTTAGAAGACTTTTATCCCTAAAGGTTAAAGTCACAGACTTTCATTTCCCTCTAATTCAGATGATATTAGATTTTTTTCCCGACCTCTTGGTATTTGGCTTCATTTAAAAGGAGACTTTTTAATCTTGGCCACAGACCAACTTTAAAAACACACAGATTCACCTAATTATCCCACACTGCTCCAATACCTCTCTAGTGAGTATATATCTGCTTCATATTTAAAAATATATATGTACATATATTTCCCTACTTTGCACCATTACAGCAGTATAATGACTGACTGTAGACATGATGGCATGGTTCACTGTGTCCTTGGCCAATAAACAACACATTCACAGGGTAAACCATTGAAGTACTGTCTAAGGTCGATCCAAATCCAAATTATATCATGAAAAGTCATGAAAATTCCTCCAATGTTAAAGACTAAGATCCAAATCCAAATTATATCATGAAAATTCCTCCAACATTAAAGACGTTTATCATGAAAACTCATGAAAATTCCTCCAACGTTAAAGACGTTGTACAAGTCAAGAGTTTTGTTTGTGTTTTTAGATTGATAGGAATTTACAGATTCCAGTTCTCTTCTAAATATTACTCTTTGATACGATTTACGAATTGCATTAGGAAATAGAATAGAGTCAAAATAGTTTTGTGTGAATGGAATTTGAGGACGACTAAATAAAAAACTGCATCAAAACCAAACAGTTCCTCTGTAGAAATGAACATGTTAACATGAAAAAAAACACATGCGATTTTTCACTTTTTTTGTCAAACAAAGGTGAGTGAAAGGAACCTGAGGCAGCCTCTGAGTTTCATTTAATAATTGAAACCGTGTCTGTGTCTGAGAGCCATGAAATCTTAAACAGCCGTTAAATGAGGTTGAGGCCGAGAAAAGTGTCCCAAATATTTGTTGTTGTTGTTGTTGACTCTCCATTGTTATTTTCCTGCAGACGCTCATCATACAGTAGTATTATAAAACATATACATTAATATATGTCCTAATGTTATTATAGAGGATGGCCATCATTCATTCATACACTACAGTAAAAGCAGGTTGACTGATGTCGCCAACATTAACACAGGAAACGACCTGAATGAGTTTAATGTGACCCATAAAATAGAAGAAAGAGAAAAAATGACACATTGATGCTAAATGAATCGGCGGGTGTTTGACCAAGGGTTTCTGGAAATGCTGTAGGTTAATGGTTCCCAACATATAGATGGGGATCTACCAGTAGATCACAAATGGAGTGCTGGTATAGCATGAACAATTTAAATAAGAAAATTAAAACATAATAATAATTCTATAGTCTGTAGTACTGACCAAATACAGTACTGTGAGGATTGATCTACATTGTGCCATAGAGCTACATGCAATATATAAGAATACTATATAAAGTCTAGATTCAGTTTAGTTTAGTACTATATAAAGTCTAGATTCAGTTTAGATGAGTGAATATATATTAACCTTTTCAATGGAGGTCGATCACCTTAGCCTGGTCATTTGAATAGTAGCTTCAATGCCAAAAAAGTGTGGACACTCCTGCTGTCGGTATTTCCTCGTGTCTTTGTTGGTAAAGCTCCGTCCGTGTTTTCATGAAATCCAACCAAATGTCAGATCATTTCTGCCTCGACGCCAGGTTGTAAACTCTTTAGGAATCTGTAAGCATTAATCGTTGAACAAGCAGACTAACGATTCAGAGGAATCAGACCATGGGGACTGGGTTCTCTACAAGAACCGGCCCCCTGGCTGTGTCAGAGTACTGATACTGATCAGTGTTGTCTTCACTCTGCTCCTTCACCTCCAGCTGTTTGACTCCCTCCGTCCTTGTGGAAATGGGATTCGTTTTAACTCGCGACTAAATAAGCGTTTGTGACAGAAACACAATTGTTACTTTTAGACCGAAAGAAAAATAATTTAGCTGAAAAACGCAGGAGCCACAGCTGCGCTGATGCCTCATTGGTGAAGGCGTGTAATTAATTTGTAAGAAAACTGTCAGCACAGCAAACGCAATGCAGTCACATACTTAACATCAGGTTAGTAATGTTAGAACAGAGGGATCTACATTTGTCATCGCTAGAGAAAAATCAAATCAAAAATACAATGAACCAGCGCCATGAATATTTGCATAATTGTTGTTGATAGATTGCTGTAGAATATCGATATGGTATTGTGAGATGAAATTTTGCGATAATCAGCAATTTTCTTACACCCCGACTCATTGGTTCTGTTTGTATCATTGGTGTAAAGACAGTAAAACTGTTGAACTGGTTAATGTGAGGAAGAGTGAATCATCATCGGCTAAAGTGTTCTCTCCAACCACCTGGCTAATCTATCACTAGAACCAGAACTAGAATCCCTGAAGCTGACGCCCTCTGGTGTTTGACTAGCTTCTGAAAACATGTTTAGCTTATCAGGTCTGTAAAGGGAATCCTCAAAGTGGGCAGTGTTTGTGCACAGATGGCAGTTTTCTCTGCAAACACTGAACCCCGGGCCCACAGGGGCGATCTCCTCAACTGCCTCCATATCACATCCTCAACATGTGACCAGACGAACCAGTGGGAGCTGGTGAGGAGCAGATTAGTCCGTTGGCTTTGACGGAGCGCTCACTCGTGCTGCTGTTCAAATGAAAGAGCTCATTTCACGCTCCGGAGAGCTGACAGAAGCTTCTGGATTGTCAGACGTGGACATGCAGGCATCATTTGAACCTCCTGGTCATGAAGCACTTTTCAGCATCAGCAGTGAGCCGTCAAGCCCACAGGCAGACATGATTCCTGGAATTATGAAAAGTCAGAATTCTTTTCACACTAGTGGGGTTGAAAAGGCTAATGTTTTGTTTTTTCAGCGTTTTTCAGAGAATAACAGTAAATTAAACTGGACGGCTGTAGAGGAGCCTGTAGAGTTGGTGATTATGTTTACTTTAGGGTTGAAGATTCTTGGTCTTCTTTCTCTTGTTGGTTCACATTCCCTTCACGGCAGCGGTCAACTGCTGCCACCACTGGTGGGCCACATTAATGTCCGATGTTCAATACTAAAAAATATTTCAGAAAATAATTGTATCAAATATATGTAAGTACTCTATGATATTATATTGCAATCAGCAAGTATCAATCTATTTTATTATTCTCAAATGACAAACTAAAGAATGTCAATAATGTATAAAATATACATTTAAAATTTTAAAATACTTTTAGAGCAAAACTGTAATTGACATCAATTCACGGGCCAGATGTCAGGGTTACGTGGGCAGTAAGTGGTCCCCGGGCCATTAGTTTGATACCAGTGTTTTATGCCCAAAGTGAACTCCCTCCACAGTTTATCAGGAGAACGACGGCTCACATGCAAATGCCCATTCCTAACAAATACACAGTGTAGTGTTAGCTGTCTCTAAACAGTCTGATATATTTTAGAAAATGAATCGTGGAAATGTAGCTCAGTGGTAAAAACTCTGATGATGAATCAGTTTCATTGAAATGTCACCGTCCTCCATCATTGATATAAAGACTCATAATGAACTGCATCAGTCCATTCACTTCAGCAGCTCAGTTCCACTCAGACTCTCCTGCTGTAGTTGATCAGTGATAATGCTCCATAGCTGCAGCTGGTTAAAGGGTTGGTTCAGATTTTTTAAAATCATGGTTCATCACGGTGGCCTTAAAGAAACTGTATCCTGCACCAACCAGTGCAGCATTTGGTCACTTCATATACTACTACTGTTTCATAGCAGTAATTGTGGTTCATGTGCAGTGGACTGTGGCGCAGTTATGTATGATCATACACTAATGGGACAGAGTCAATGTTCACTGACATCAGACGTCAGTTATCAAAACCTACAGAATACTGACATATTTCTACTCTTTGTTTGTGAATTAAACCTTAATGAATGTCCTTGTGTTGGAGGTCATCTCCATGTTTGAACTCATGACTTTTTATTCATTCCACATTTCTGTTTCTATTTGGTCCAAAACCACATTTTTTTTAAAGTAGGAAGCAGAAAAATCTGATGTTATGCTGCTGGAGAAGAAGAGTGTCTAAGAGAACCAGTGAAATAATGAAGTATATCATTCCTGAATATCAGCAGCCTCTCTGTGGTAATGCAGGCCACTGGATATTTTAGTTCAGATTTCTATGCCAAGTGTTTCCTGGACTCAGAGCCTGCCGTCATTATTTTGTTGGTGCTGCCTCAACTGTTTAAAAATCAATGTGTTTGATTGTTAGTGTTTCCTGAAACATTTCTAACTGCAGTCAACTGAACACAATCTGCTGTGATTTTTCCACCAATCCATTAGAGCTGTGTGTGATATCTCCAAACCCTGTTCCAGGATGATGGTATTTTTCGATCCAGATAATGATTCCCATCATTACTTCTTCTCTCAGCTGTGTACACAGTGGCCGTGTCTCTGTAGTTCACGTCTTTCATCTCTGAGTCTGAAGTTTGTTTTGGAGCTTTGACTCTTTCTTGGTTCTCATTTAAAGACTGTCACATGGTAAAAAGTTTTATTGCTGTTCAAAGCTGCTGTCGGCCAGTCTACAGACTGATAATTAGTCCAAAAGTCATCGGCCACCATCTCACCTCATACCCAGTCTTGTCTGACGTTACAGTACCGTTGTTCCTGTCCTGTCTTTTTCTGGCTCCATGACACTTGTCTTGTGGACACATAGGGGGCGTCACAGCATTTGTATTCGTCCCAAACTGTCACTGCCAACATCTGGCATCACAGTTGATTCCAGTGCAGTCACACGACAAGTAGTACTCAGTGATGGTAGATCCAGGGGGCAGTAATGAGCTGTTTACCCAGCCCTAGCTCATCAATACGACCAGTTTCAACAACACACAGGAGTTAGTCGAACCAATGGATGTGAAAGGGGAGCAATAAAAATGATTAATAATGATTGTGTTCCTTAGTCGTCCTACAACGGGGACATTTACAGTGTGAGTCACCACAGGGGGTGCTATTAGGGATATGTGGTTGTTCTGGGAATTGGACCTGGGGCATTTTTTTTTGGGGAGAATTTATTTACAATTTAACTTTCCACCTCTGGGTCTCACCCCTCTGTAAACAGCCCAAACACCGGAGCAGTGAGCTGCACTTTGGCAATGTTCATGCTGACCTTAAAAGTACTGGTCTTTAGTCATGTCCAGGCATTTCAATTTCATTTGGAGAAGTCAAACTCATGAAGAAGTCTTTAGGAGTTATGAGTTTACAGTTTTGACACGGAATTAGAATTAAGAGTATTCTCCTAAAATGTGAGGCTTCACAGTCAATATTATATTCAGTATGCATTCACAACACACAGCAAAGCAGAGTTTGATTTATTATAAAGAAAATAATTACACCACACACTGAGCTCTTTGGTAATAAATGAGAGAAAAAAAACTCCCTTTAACAGGAAAACATCTCCAGCAGATCCAGAATCAGTCTTTGACTGTGTGTCTTGGCAAAGAGATTAAAGAGGGAATGGGGGCGACAGCTGAGGAGAGACGAAGAAGGGAAGGGGGGGAGATAGGTGGAGATAAAAAAAAAAAACACGGTAATCTCAGTTCTGTCACACAAGATGTAAAAAATGCAAAGAAAATACAGTACAGTTCCAAACACTGCTTCATCTGTATATTAGAGGCAAAAAAGCTGTAGCTGAGTTAGAATTGATTAATAATAAACAACAACACAGGGAGACCTCGGTTCACAATGTCCTCAACCAACCAAGGTTATGTTGCAATCTCCAAAAAAAAAGTGTTAAGAAAGTCTTTTTCCATCATTCAAAACACAGCATTAAATCTTGGAAACTAAAACACACGTTGGTGAGCGGGGCGGATAAATATGTTTTCATTGGGCTCTACACTTTTTCTGCCCTTCATTATGGCTCCCAGGAGTAGGTCAGATGACTGATGTTTTGATGTCCTACATTATGATGTTAGCACTGTGACAGTGTAGGTCAGTGACTTAGGTACAGAGTTCTGACCAACGGTGAAGAACAAGTTACGTCACTCCATAAAAACAGAACTCCAATGTTAGTCAAAGACCCCCAGTACTGATGGTGACGGTAGGGTCTCATCATATGCAGTATCATCCAGCTGTGTGTGTGTGTGTGTCAGGAAATGACAAAGTGTTCTTAACCTTGACATTTAATTTGACTTTACTAAAACACCTGCTGTAACCTCACCCACGTCAGGGACACGTACGGAGAACTGACGTCCACACTTTGTCTTCCAGGATCACTGCTTCTACCACGGACATGTGAGTGGACATCCAGAGTCCTGGGTGGCTCTCAGCACCTGCTCAGGAGTCAGGTACAGTCGACCAGTCCAGATTTACAACTGCTTTGAACCAGTACTGTGTTGATTGATGACATTTTCAGGGCGCCTGGAGCCTAAAATGAACGCTAATGAAATATTGTTTTTTTAACCAATCAGAGTTTGAGTTGGCATCAAGCTGGCATAGCAAGGTTTTCTAACTGTTCTACAGTCTGTTGGTGACTTGAGTGATTTGATAGGGTGGTCCAAGAATGCAAACGAAGCATATAAAATATCTGAGCTGGTTCATCTGGGTTGATAGCTACGATCATGTGACTGCACAAGTCAAAGCTACTACAATGTCTGTGGGGTCTCCAGGAATGTGTGATGTCAACGTGGGTACACAAGCTGAAACAGGTTGAGAACCACTGGTACAGGTGTAGTTTATTATATTTAACTTTTTAATAACTGGGACTGAGTAGATGGTCAGAAACTCCTCTTCAGAAACACTTAGTAAAGAGTCCAAAGTCAGTATTATTCAAAGCAGGTTAAGCAGCAGTGTCCAGGCCTGGGGCTCTGCTTCTGTGTCTGTGTAATTAGTTCCACATAAACTCTGCTAAAACATCATTAAATATTACATTTTAAAGCTCTTTAAAGATGAACAGCATCTTTAAAGAACTTTAAGACATGAACCAACAAGATACTTATCCGTAAAAGAATGTATAAAACACGTCTAACTGAACCATAACTGGACCTTCATCTGAAACTATAGATTACTTCAAGAAGTTACAAATAACAGCAAATATAGAAAATATTGAAATGGATTTGCTACTATATCTGCAGCCCCTGTGGGGCCCTGCCCTTCATGTTGGGAACCATTGTCCACAACCTACCAAGGATTCTTGTCTGCTGTCAAATGTGTGTAAATAATCCTGTGGTCAAGGGTGACTGAGGCTCAGTTCCAAGGAACAAGACAGTTGTAAAGGGTGTCAGTTAGATCAGTTAAATCAGTGTCTGAATGAAACCACGTTCTACTATCAGAACCATCATGTTCCTCCGTCTGACGGCGGCTTCTCCTCTGATGACACGTGCATCAGCACTCAGCATTCAGCCTGGGCAGGAAGCCAGGGCTGACTTGTTGACGGCAGCTTTGATGGAGAACAGAGGTGTGTGAGCCAGCTTTTTAAATGTCCAGTCATTCACAGACTCAGTCCACTGTGGGCCGACTGATGATGTAAGGTGGATGTGACGTCAGGTCGTTAAAGTTCCCTTTGGGAGGAAGGGATCAAAATCTACTGCACAAAATCTTTGTTCGCTTAGAAACTATTGAAACAAAGATAAATTAGAATCTTTGGTTTAAAGGATGGGTATTTGAACTTCCTCCTTGTCCCAGGACTGTGTTTGGGCTGATTAGTCAACAGTTGTTTTTGGGCTCCCAACTCAAATATTGTTGTTTTAGTATTTAGTCATATTACTGCATTAATGAGGAGTACTTCATATCTAACAAATATACAAATATCTATTTGTTATTATCCATACCAATTGTGAAGTAATAGCTACTGTATGTCTGCAGACCACTCACTCCACCACACTGCACCACCTCTCTACTGATGATTCATTATGATAAGTCTTAGTCGCTGTTACCATATAAACCAGGGGTGTCTGGCCCTTTTTGTCATGCAAATAAGTACAAATATATTAGGAAATATTCATATTTAATGAAATATCATTGGACAAAACACGACTAACGTAGCATGTTGGTGTTTTTTTTTTTCACTTTCAAAATGTATCAAGTGGGTCAGATTGAACCGGATTTGGACCACGGGCCATATGTTTGACACCTATGGTATAAATTAAAAAAAAGAGAAGTTCTCTACACTGACCTGGAAAAATAATCACTCAACAAGAGGGGAGGCTGAAGACATGGTCATCATGAGATCTCTGCACTTCTGTCAGTGGTTCAGGGTGTGGTCACCTGCTTTATGACAACTTTACATTGTAATGTAATTACTTTTTTACACAGGTGATGAACCCAGTCAGTACTTGACTCAACCTCTACTGAGCTTAGAAACTATTGAAACAAAAATAAACTTTGAATTAGTGACAGAGAGGGACTTTAGGGCATTTAGAAGCTTTGGTTTAAAGGATGGGTATTTGAACTTCCTCCTTGTCCCAGGACTGTGTTTGGGCTGATTAGTCAACAGTTGTTTTTGGGCTCCCAACTCAAATATTGTTGTTTTAGTAATATTACTTCATTAATGAGGAGGACTTCATATCTAACAAATATACAAATATTTCTTTGTTATTATCCATACCAATTGTGAAGTAATAGCTACTGTATGTCTGCAGACCACTCACTCCACCACACCGGACCACCTCTCTACTGATGATTCATTATGATAAGTCTTAGTCGCTGTGACCATATAAACCAGGGGTGTCTGGCCCTTTTTGTCATGCAAATAAGTACAAATATATTAGGAAATATTCATATTTAATGAAATATCATTGGACAAAACACGACTAACGTAGCATGTTGGTGTTTTTTTTTTTCACTTTCAAAATGTATCAAGTGGGTCAGATTGAACCGGATTTGGACCACGGGCCATATGTTTGACACCTATGGTATAAATTAAAAAAAAGAGAAGTTCTCTACACTGACCTGGAAAAATAATCGCTCAACAAGAGGGGAGGCTGAAGACATGGTCATCATGAGATCTCTGCACTTCTGTCAGTGGTTCAGGGTGTGGTCACCTGCTTTATGACAACTTTACATTGTAATGTAATTACTTTTTTACACAGGTGATGAACCCAGTCAGTACTTGACTCAACCACACTTTAGAAATCTTGGCAGAACTGTAAACAACATGCAGTCAATTCTTCAGTTTTGTGTTGTTTGGTGTCATCTATGATGAACACTCACTGAGTGACATCTGCAGTTCTTGATGATGATGTAGGTGGTATCAAAGCCATTATGCTCATTAAAAGTCACTCCCACACCAGAGCCTCAACGACCTCAGTAAATCATCAATGTTATGGAGGCAGAATAATGGCAGCCTGAACATAAAATGCTAATGTCACAGACGTGGCAGGACTGTTGGTGGAATCACACCAAAGGTTTGGTGATGATTCAGTCAGAAATCAAAACTCTTGGCTCTGTTGTTCAACAAATGAGACTTTGTCAAGTTTTTTGACCTTTGACCTGTTGAATATTCACTAAGATTTCTCATTTTAGTAATAACTGACCAGAACAAAGGACAGTCCAGCAGAGAAGACTATCAGCTGTAACAATTTTCTTTCATCAGTTTGTTTCTATTCACCATCAACTACACTCATGAATCAAGGTTTGACATTTTACAAAAACATGGTCAAACTACTGCAGAATAGTTGAATGTACAGTCAGAGGGTAACATGTAAACAACTTCCTGTTGTTAAGTTTAAAAAGTTCTGTTAGGCAACTGGATGTGGATTTTCTAGATAGAAGACGTTTCACCTGTAATCCAAGAGGCTTCTTCAGTTCAGTTCTAACTGGTGGTGGGGAGTACAGCAAATAAATACTTTAGGTGAGAAAGAATAAAGCTACTTCAGCTCCACCCTGTTAGGTGGGGCCTTGGGGTCAACTGTGAAAGTGTAAACAGTCATTAAGAGTCTGATGGGTCGTTGTGGTCGTCCATCAGAACGGTTTCAGTCACCTGCCTCTTTGTTGTGTGAAACTGAGGTGAA